AAATATATTTCATATACTAAAAATGGCATTGCATATTCTCTTTATGCAAGATTACGCCACTGATTAACACATACTGTAAAAAAGTGCAAGGTTAGTTTTCGAACTGCTATTAAATAGTCTTCATTGTCTTCATTGGTAAATATAAGCCTTTGAAATGTAACCGTAATGCCCTGAAAAAGTGAGAAAACTTACACTCTAGATTTGAAACATAAAAGAAAGGTTTGGTATTTTATGGGTTTCAGTTGCTCAGACTGGTGCATAAAGTGCTTTTTGAAAGTCATAGGAACTTTGAAGTCTTATTCATCCTTCTTAAAGTCATTCTGCTATATGACAACAGCCAGAGGTCCATTTTGTGTGAACCACAGGCCAGGTGTGCTGTGGCATTTGGGCTACATCTGAACCACAATACTTGCATTGACCCATGACAAGCCTTCTTTACGACTTCTGGGCCACATCTGGCCCCCCTCAGCATTAGCAAGTGCAGTAAGTGAGTCATTAGTGCCAGAAAGTAACCAAGATTCAGCCAAAATGTGTCTGTTCTCTAGGCCTGGCTATAGCTTTGACTGCTTGATTCACCAGAATGTTAAACTATTGCTTTTACAGCATATTTAGGTACTTACTAGTCAATTTCCATGCTCCAGTCTTCTGCTTTGAGTTTAGCTATTGGAGTGACCCTTTTGCGGGATGGGGGGACTCTTAAAACCTCCACTCAACTTATTTTTGGATGAAACATGAAGACAAGTCCATCCTCCTCGCTGTGCTGAGTAATGAATAAGAGATAGGCTCTTTCTCACCAACGCTGCCTGTGAGGGCGAGGCAGCATGATGTCACCCTCTCACATCAATAACAGCCTTATAATGGAAAACAATCTGCACAGCTCCAATCTCGATGGGGCTGACTTCCTCCAACAAATGAGCACCAGTCCTCCGCCCACTACACAAGGGCAGGACGTAACACTTTTGCAAACTGATTTACATCTAAATAAATACAGGCCTAGACGAAACAATGTGCGGACCCAAAAGAGAAACCGGCGTCTCTCTGCTGGGCAAGTTCAATTTATATTGCCCAATCCGGCCAAGCTGCAGGGCACGATAAGACGGGAGGGACTGCTGAATTAAAGCATTGTACAGGAGTCACCGCCTCTGGTTTGCTGCCACACTTAGAAAAGTGAACACAAAGGGACTATAGCAAATGACAAAGGGGATAAAATGAGAGTAAAGTCTAAAAAAAGTAAAAAGCACAAAAGTCAACAACCAAGAGTAAGTGCAGCCAGTACTCAACAGTTGTAGAGGTTTCAAGGGAGATTGCAAAGTGACCATAGAAACACTATGTTATACACTTGCAGGGCAACATTGGAAATAATCCATATTTTTATGCCTCCATGCTGGAGAACACTGTCGTAGCAGGCGTTGTATTTTCAGGTCGTTCCTTCACCTGTTTGTATGATACATCTTTCTCACTGAAAGGTATATTCTTGGAGTACCTGAACATCCACGGGAACTCTGAAGTGATAATACTTAGGTGGACAAAAGCCAGGTTTAGGTGTTGTGTATGTGCCTAATTCTAGTTATCATTGTCAGCATGAAAATAGTGAAAAGACTAAAACCATCAATGTGTGAACTGATTTCTCACCAAGCTCATCATCTCTTCACCTGCTCTTACGGAGGACTTAAATTTTAAACATTACATAATTTCCTAATATTATCCTTTAAAATCTTACAGCGGCGTGATTGTTGGTGCCAAAATATCAGAGTATGTCTGGAACTGCAGAACTACTTGGTTGTTCCCACGATCAGCTCTTGGGTTTATAGAGAAAGGTCCACAAAAAAAATATTCAGTTCTCTGGCAGGGTAATTAAAACTGGAAAATATGTTGCTGGTCTGACAAGTGTCAATTTCTGCTGTAACTTCTGGTCGGTAGGGTTAAAATCTGGCATATGTAATGTAAAAGCACAGCCTTGTATGACTGATTCAGGCTGCTGGTGGTGTGAGCTGGTTAGAAATTCCAATTTTTATATGTTTAAGATGTTCTCTGTAATTCCTGCAACTTTCATGGGAACCTAAAACGTTAAATGCAACAAGTAGAAAGTTTTTTAAAAAATTCAATGGTTTGTTTTTTTTTCAGTTGACATATACAGAACTACTTAAAAAGATATTTATCAGTGCCATACAAACAAAAGACTTTTTTTTTGGTTGCCATTCTTAAGTATATTTCCTTCTGGGAAGTGGAAATAAGGGAAGGAAAGAAAACTGAAGTTTGACAATATGCTGTTTTAAGAGGGTAGTTACATGTTTCAGTTAATAAGTACCACTTCACATGCTTATACTGATACTTTCAAGATAAATGGTCAATAGAAAAGACTATTTCACTTCATGTGAACTAACAATACAACAGTGTAAAATGTCCATACATTTACAAAGAAAAGTCCTGTTTAGCCGTAAAAATATGTAGTATTGTTAGATCATAAATGACCCAAAATCTTATCCTAATTTTTATTGCTGATGTTGCTGGATAACTAAATCGTCTCTCATAGTTTGATTTTTTTCTCCGTTTTTTAATTGTTTTATATTTCTTTACATTTACTGTTGTTTCTTCCTAAAAGGTGAACTTTAATGCCATCACCCAACGATACTACTTCCTCTCTGAGGCCTCATTTGAACATAACCTGTAAAAGAGGCCTCCAAAAGTCTTATCAGCTCCTCAGCCAGAACATGTGGGTACAGGAGCCTCTCAGTCATGACCAATTATTGTCTGCATGTGGATGATGCAGGCCAGACCTCCTTGGACTATGTACAACTCCAAACCTGGAGCCTGTTGAAGTCACCAAACCTGGTCCTTCTGTCTGTCCATGTAGCTCATCCTACTTAGTATATTTTGATTTAATGGCATATTGATTGAAAATAAAAGTTTGTTAAAGTGGCATTTATTTATGTTGATATGATTCACACCCAATAATATGTAG